TAAGTCTGATTCAGTATCTGTTTTTCACAGCCACTTTTTTCAAGAACGTGAGCTGTGCATTTAAAAAAAAAATGTTTAGTTCAGTTTTGCTGTCTTACACATCTCGGTTGGAAGCAAAGTGAAAAAGTCTAAAACTAAATCTGGGAAGAGCTGAACAGGTTTTCCAAGGAGTGAAAACAATTCCAGGGGGAAATATTTCTCCTTCTTTACCTTATTATTATTATTATTATTATTATTATTTTAAATTAAATTATTAGTTAATTTGGTTCTGAAAGGATTTGAATATGAGATGACAGCCTTCGAAGTCCTTTGATTTTTTTTTTTTTGGATGTGTGTTTTCATGTGAGTAAATAAATACTGACATGTTACAAGTTGTATCTGAGGCAAGGCACACCCTATATTTTCTGTTGCCTTTAAAAAAATTAATTCTGATCTTCTCCATTCTTTGAAAATAATCGGTCATTATCCATTCAGTTTAACACAATTCAGGCTAAACTTGACATGGGTACCTCCTTAATCAGGGAAAATCACTTCTGATTTCCTTACTGTAACTCAGCCATTTTTTTTTAATAGGGATTTTTAACCACACGTTCTTTTTTTTTTTTTTAAGCATTAAAAAAAAAAATCAACCAACCGCAGTATGAACCTATCAATAAGAAGGGCTGTAAAAACAATTTTTTTTTTTAAGTGAGAAAAACTCTAGACAACTGCTGAATTTCAACCATTTTATTCAGGATCAAGGGATGGGGGTGGGAAAGGAAGTAAAGAGAATGACTTGAACTTGTTATATTTTATTCCTTTAAACCAAGTGACATGAGAAACTGCAGAAATAGCTTTATAAGAGCTGCGTACCAAACATCTCCTATTTTTTTCTGAACATAAGCAATTCTTTGATCCCCAGGAACCTACCAGTGAAACTCTACAGCTCTTACATCAAGACCTTCAATGTGGGCACTTCAGAGCATGGGAGAATTTACCTACCACTATTTCTCAGAGTGATTGAACTGTGATTATTTTAAAACAGTTAAGCCGCTGACAGCCCAAGTATCCACTGAATTTTTTTCAATCCTATTTTTGACGAGCAAATATTTTGATAAACTGATTCAGATCATAAATTCTAAGTTCCAAAGAGGTTAAATTTGGTGGCTTTTTGCTTTCTTATTTCTGATCTCTTCCTTAGTAGGTATTATTTTACCCATTTAGCATCATGGTAGTATGGTAGATAGTTGTTTTGTCAAAAATAATTTCATTAAAGCAGATTTCATCCAGTTGCACCAGAAATGTTTTCTAATTTCAAGCCTGATGTGCCGAGCGCATCTAGGAGTAAACCACAAATAAAATAAATAAAACATTTTTTTTTTCCTTTCTCAGCTCTCATTGTAATTGGATTTCTTCTCATAGTAAGAAGGTAGGAGTTGGTACTGAGAATTAATATCAGAAGTAAATATTGTTATCACTTTTAGCAAGCCTCTTTGTATTCTTTATCACCCTGGTTTCCACTCTCTTTTCAGAAGTGGCTGCGGTAGCACAGGAAATTTTAGTTACCTTTAGTGCCCCCTGAATGGCACATGGTCCTTCTACCAGACACTTGCCCGGGGCTTGCACGCCGGAACATCGATTGCCTTGTGCAATTGCAGTGTCATTAAAATGACTTGCCCTTTCTTCAGTTTTCCATCTAGAGAAAGATAAGGAAAGAAGTTGTAAATTTTATACAAAATGTAAAACAGCATCCCCCTAAAAAAAAAATGGAAAAGGAAAAAGAAGAAAAGAAATAAAGTTTAACATTCTATCTTTGAACCAGCCTGCAATTCCATATCATCCACTCTGACTTGCCTCTGACAAGTAGCCCAAAACCAAAATTTCCTTGCGTTAGGGTCCCTTCAGCTTCCTCCTGGGGGCATATAGGCACATGGATATCTTGGACATCTGAGCCCACAGCTTTACAGTTTCTAAGTTTGTTCCACAGCAACCTGTGAGGTTGGTGGCGTCTCTTGTGAGAGCCGTGACGTTTCTGAGCCAGAACATCCTATGTATGCCCATTATTTATGAATGAATGGGGCATAAAGTAAACTGGAGTCCAGATTTCACTTTGTGAGTGATGAAATACCAGGCAAGATGTTGCAGGAGATGGCACAGTAGTTTTGAACAAAGAAATGATAACTATGATTGGATAATAGTGTTTTAAATCCAGAACAATTAGGTGCATTTAACTTTATCATTGTTCTCTCTTCCCCATACCGCAATCAGTCCTTTCATAGTGTGGCCCGTTGTTAATAGCCTTAAAACAAGATTAAATAAAACATGTTAAATATTGCAATTATTGTGGGAAATAAAATTATTTGGTGAGCATAATGGGGAGCAATTCAAGCATTTAACATGATCCAGGAAACGCTACTCCAAACAATTGCATTTGCTTTATGCATTTTTCCCCTTTGATTGCTGACAGATGCCTTTTTGGAAACAAACATCTAAATGGTTTGCCTTCAGTCAGAAAAAAAAAATATAACAGAGAGCGGCTACATGTTTTGAATTTAACTCTTGTCATTTGAATATTTCTTCCCAGTGTACGTGAATGAATCTAAGGCAAAAACAGCGCTCCCCTCAAGAAATAAGCCTGTCAGGATTTGGCTTTCTTATTTCCTTTGAGCATGCATTATAAGAAGTGAGATGCTCTAGCCTTGGAGTCAGGTGGTCAGGAACAGAGGGATGATGGGGAGTATGACAAAGGGAACTGACTTCTCCTGATGTGACACCCTGGGCATGTCACTTTCCAGCCTCACTCTGGTCATCCTGGCCAATGGTCCCCCAGTGAAGAACCTCCTTTTGTTTAATGGGAAGAATATCAGAGAGCTCAGAGGATGGAGGATTCCCATCTGGGTCTTTCCTGCAGTGCATTTGGAAAAGACTTTGGAGATTCTGCCGCCAACAGGTGTACAATACCAAGGAGAGGTTTTGGTTTTTGTTATATGTCATTAAAAGGCAATATGTATTGGGATGTAAGTGTTTTTCATAGGCTGGAGAATAGAGCCATTGAGAGCACTGTTTCTGAAGTCTTATAGTCTGGCTCTGCTGGTTACTGTGTAACCTCTCCCAGATTACTTGACCTCTCTGATTCTGTGTCCCATACTAATCAGGAAAATAAAGACAATAGCATTTATTAAGTTTGCCTGTCTGTGCATATATATAATCACAGTTAAAAGCAAAAATATGCATCAAGTGACTGGTCCCTGATAGGTAATGAGTGTTCAATCAAAGATATCATATTGTTATTGATGTTTTGTTTTTATTAGACCCCTCTTGAGCAGAGGCCCCTGTCTTCCCTTCTGGCCCTTGAGATTCTTGAGGGCAGGGGCCATGTCTTACTCATCTGATTAACTATAAGATTCAAGTGCTGGGGAAATAGTAGGGGGCTCCCTCAGTGGTTTGCAAAAGCTAGTAAACAGGCACAGGACATTTAGTCAAGGTGAATTCGATTGCGTTCTTCTTATACGTGCCCAGACTTTTCTTTAATGCTGGCTCAAGCTGTTGCCCTTCTAGTATGTCATCTACCTTCCCAACTTAATGCCCCCAGTCCACAGGGACCTCGGGCTCCTTTGACTTCCTACTGCCTCCTTATCTGTATCATCCACTGGTGCTTTATAGAGACTGGCTGTATCACTACCTGTTTTTGATGAACATATGTCTTTTATTCATTCATCCATTAAATAGCAATTTTTGCAGTGCAGGCAATTAAATTTTTTTCCCTCCTTTTTAAGTTTTGTTTCCAGGACCCATGAAAATGTGAAACTCTAGAAGAGCAACTTGATTTTGAATGCAGCATACAGTTAACAGCTGACGTTCATTGATTGAGTGCTTCCTCTTGGGCAGGCACCGTTCCAAGAGCTTTATGTAATTTTTTCCAGGTAGGTTCCTATGAGGTAGGATCTATTATTAGCCTCATTTTACAAACAGGAAAACAGACTCCAGGAAGTGAAGTGACTTGTTTAGGGTTCCAGAGTTAGAGGTGGAAGGAAGCCCATGCCTAGGAAACATGAATCCAGAGCTTCACTTCTCTGGCATTGTCTGCTAAATCAAGAAAGGAGGGCAATCACAGGATTGAGCGCCTGCTATGCACCTTCTTTAAAGGTGATTCAAGGTATGATGTGCCACGCAACTTCTACAACGTCCCCAGGAGGTGGCGATTATTATTTTCAATTGGCAGGTCAGGGTCCAAAGGGCAGGAGCCTAAAGATCCGCACCAACCAAGAAGAGCATAGATTCAGCCCTGCATCTGCTTGATAAAAAAAAAGAAGAAAAATCCCATGCCTTTCCTCGTCTCCCAACCAGCTACAGCTAGCTCTCAGAAGATATTTTGTGTTTCTTTTGTACAGTTCAATGTTGGGCTCAACAGCTTTGAATAATCAGAATGTTAGAAGTGACGAAATTAGAAATGTACCCTATTGCTGAGGCTATAGAGGAGTTTAGGGTAATGGGTACCTGAGATTAAAAAAAAAAAAGCCTGTACTGGATAGGGATTATCTACTGTTAACACCTAGATCTTTCCTCTAACTGTAGTCAGGTGGAAAATCCTAATGGTGTTCACGACATCACTATCTAACCCTACTAACTGACTCACGCGTCAGCCCTGGCGTGAGAGGAAGAATCATAGGAAGCCCCCAAGTGCCAAGCTCTTTGGTGGAATATTTATTCTTTTTTGATGAAAGAAATCTAGTCCTCTGGACAGGTACACATCATCACCAGGTGAGACTGTGGTGACTTAAATAAACAGGTACACCAAGTCACCTGGCACACTTTCCTCACCCTATGGCAGAAGTGAATTACATGAAGCTGAACAGGGTGAAATTGTCGAATGCCAGGGGGGTCCAGACAGCCACATCCATTTTAAGGAGATGCCCAGAGATTGCTCAGATTCTTGATTGTGTATATTTTTTTTTCTTGAGAGAAATATTGATAATGTTTTCAGGAGAAACTCACCTGCCATATCCTGCACAGAATGAGTTTTCTTCTTGGTAGCGGTTCTTGTGCCTCGCTTCCATTTGAAAATTCTTTGACTCTCTCTCTCTCTATTTTCTGTTAGCTGGCTGCCACCCGAGATTGGACTAAACCCTCTGCCCCTCGTTAAAAAAGAAAAAAAAAAAAAAAGAAAACACACACAGCACAACCCTCTAATAAGTATATTCACAACTTCTATGCAAGGCGCTTAAGAAAACGAAAAGGTTAATATATTCTAACTAGATGTTAGGTATAGAATGTCAGATCTGTCAAATTTCATTATAACTTGCTGCTCATTGGAAAAGATTTGATTTCTTTTGCCACTGTCCTACTATGTTCAAGTCACAGACTGCCAGCAGCAGCCCACTGAAGACCACAGGCTGGCAGTGAGCGGGCTCGAGTGGGAAACCAGCCGCAAGGACCATCTGTTTCCGATTTCTAGCTGAGCCAAGATGTGCAGCGGAGTGCATTCCATTCACCAGGCCAGCTTCTCCCCTGCTCAAGTTATTAGTGTTACAAGTGAAATGATCTTTTCCAAACAGCAGGGGAGCTATAATCCTTATGGAACAGGACTTTAAAACACACATGCACTCACAAAACACACACACATCACACACACACACACACACAACATTCAGACATCTTTTGTTAAAGTTGTGGGGAAGGCTGATTGTAAAGTGAGTTACAGCCTTTATGGGGTTTATAAAGCATGTTTTATTAAGCATGATCACCTCTGAGGCAGCAGCATATACTTTGGCCTCATTTAGTCTAATTGAATGATCAAATATCTTTAGGATGCCTTTTGTGACCCTGGTTAAAAATGATAAGAAGGAGGTATTTAAACTGCCTTTAAATAAATGAACCACTTTCAAAATGATCATGGATTTTTAGGAATAATCAATGGGAGCCCTTGCGCTCTGCTGGCCCAGGAGAACCAGTCTCATAGATGTGGCCAGAGTGGAGGCATGTGGCTGGGGCTGTTGTATAAGTTGGGGAGGGGCGGTGTTCAACTATATCTTTTTTTATTTGGTGTTGATCTTCTGCCTGTTTCAAGACTGATCATTTTTAGAAAAAATTTGTAGGTGAAGAAGCAAGGCTGATTGTGAAACAATGTGATAAAAATGACAAGAGAACACCTTGATTAATTATATTCCAAGCATGTATTAGTAACAGGTGATCACTATTAGGTGCTCAGAGAAAAAAGACATGAGGTCCACTTTCCAGGACCTCTGCAGCTCTCACTGAGGAAATGGATGCAGGAGCAAATACATATGTGACAGAGTGACAGGCCAGAGTAGGGTACTCTGGGTACTTCCAAGGATGTGTTGCCCGACTCTGTGTTGTCACAGGTCCTCTGTAGGCTTCTCTGCAGTACGGGGATGGTGAGGGATGGTTATGAGAGTCCAAAGAACTATAACCTAACATGTAAAAGGACAAAGGTCCCTCACAGACACCTGGCAGTTCTCCATGTATGGTGGTTTCTTCTAGTTTTTTCCCCCCAAATACTTGCTGACTTATAAATCAAGACAGGTTTCTCTTTTGTGGAGGAGAGGCACACTGAATCTAGGAAGGCTGCCTAGGCTGTGACTCCCTGCATGTGTCAGTAGCCTCAGGTGTCTCGAGGACAAGGCCAGTTGAGGGCGCTGCATAGAGTCAGGAATAATGAATGAGGTGCCTAATCAAGCTTTGGGTTCATGGTGAATGAGAGAATGATTTTTGCAAAAATGGACTTGTTTTCTCAAAGCAGAGACCACATACATACCATTCATTTCAAGTGAGGAGGGGGGAGAAGAAAGACCAAGTCTCTTATTTTGCAGGTTAAGAAAATGAGGCCCAGCGGAAGCAATTACTTGGAGTCATCGAGCAAGTTCATGTCAGGTACAGGGCTCCGATCCAGAGGTGGTAGTTGTCAGTGACTCTGTTGGACTCTGCACTGGTGGTTTCATAGTGTTTGAAGAACTGTGTTCTGAACTGCATTCAGATGCACATGAGCTCCTGCCAATGCTGCTGCTTCTACTGGTCTTATATGCCTGGCAGTGTCATCAATGTCCTTACTCGTGTTTATGGACATTACTGGAGGTTATCTGCAGAGCTCCTTTATTGAGTAGATAGAAAAGCAGTGTCCCACATAGATTTCCTGAAAGCAAAGTTTGGGACTTGTGTGAGGCTTATGGAGGCATGCAAGTTTATTGGGGTGGCTGGATCCACATCTATAGGGAAATGCAGGAAGGCCTAGGCAGGGGAGGAGTTAATCAGTTCAGTCCTAACCCAGGCCCAGTGAATCCACAGGGAACTGGAAGCTGAGTGCCCTTGCAGAATTATCCTGAATTGGGGGAAGGATGCCAGGACATGGTATTCTGCAGTGACTAAGCAGCCACTGAATAAGAGCTGTCTCAGGGAAAAGTAAAAGACCACACTAGGCAACAAACAGAGACCAAACCCAGAGGAGTCCCAGTAGCTGGGAGAGCATTTGGATGCCCAGGACCCACTCACATCCAGAGGAGTCAACAAGTTCCTTAACCCTGGGATACATAGTCCACGGCTCTACACGTTTCTGAATGGCAGAGACCAGGTTCCACTCTCCATTTTGACAAAATCTATCTGGTAAGTCTGGGAGTATCCCTCCTTCTTCAGAAACACCAGGGAGCAGAAAAAGGTAGACAAGGCATTGAGGACAATGCTGGGCATTTCCTGGCTCCTCAAGTTGCCCAGTGACAGGCGCTTTTTATGGCAAATACAGAAGTTCAGTGAATGAATGAAAGGTGCATTTGGAGTGGGTCTAGACACAGGCAGTCAAGTCTCTGAGCCTCTAAAGAGTCTTGGTGGAAGCATGTGCTGGCACATTCCTGGGACATTGCATTTGTGGAGAACAGGAGTGGATGGGGGGAGGGGTGGGCAGGAAAGTCAGCAGGGGAGTGAAAATTGTTGTCTCTTATACTCCAGATGTTTTCATCTCTACCATAGAGCACTTGGTCAAGGAAAAACACACACACACAAAAGAAACCCCCAACTCTGAAGCATTCATGGTAGGCCATGATTAAATTCTTTACTTCAAAGATATACTTTGGAGGGTAAATTCAAGTCCTCATGGTTTCTTTTTTTAAAAATTTTTCATTTGTTCTAATTAGTTGTACATGACAGTAGAATGCATTTTGACACATCATACATAAAAGGAGTATAACTTCTCATTCGTCTGGTTGTGCATGATGTAGATTTGCATAGGCCATGTAATCATATGTGCACATAGGGTAATCATTTCCAATTTATTCTACTATCATTCCTATCCTTATGCCCCCTCCCCTCCTTTTACCACCTTCTCTTTATTCCAAAATACCACTGTATCTCCCCTCCCCATGTCCACCCCTGCTTATTGTAAATCAGCATCCATATATCAGAGAAAACATTTGGCCTTTGGTTCTTTGGGACTGGCTTATTTTGTTTAGCATAATATTCTCCAATTCCATTCATTTACCAACCCCCCAATGATTGCTTAAAAGGGAAAGTGTTTGGTAAGGAGTTGGAAGAAGGCTTTAGCGTATCCTCCCTCCTCCTCTGCTCCCCAGCTCTTCAATTTCTTTTTATTTGTGTCCTCCATTAAATTCTTTTATCTTTCTATAACATTGAAGAAAGAAGCCATCTGAAGATTTGAGCTGAAGTCCATTTTGCATTTCACTGGTAGTGCACATGATATGAATGGCTGTGAATCGTACGGGCACCCAGATCCTCTAGACAATCATTTTTCCTGAACCTTGATGGAAATTTGTTTCTGTTTGTTCTTCCCTGACCTACACATTGCACAATCAGTTTTGCAGGGGATCACAGACTGCCCCTCATGAGGAACAGGGTTTCCATATCCATTTTGGGTGATTTTCCTTTCATTTCTGTCCTATTGGCCAGGTGTGAGCTTCTCCCTTGACTCTCTCTGCCTCTCCACATCCCATTCAGAGCACATACTTTCAGTTAACTTTGATTTGTCTCTCTCTCTCTACTTTCCTACTTCCATTCCTCCCTTTTATTCTTCCTTCCCATTTTTATTGAGTTCCTCTTATATTCTGTACACTGTACTAATTACTAAGCTGTGCAATTATAATCAGGACTTCAAGGCTCTTGTCCTTGGAGCAGATAACCAAGCCACTCCAATTCAGTGTGTAGTCCCTGTGTTGGGAAAATATGGGGCATTAAGGGAGAACAGAAAAGGCCTTCAAACTTAGCAGAGAGATGTTGTTACTGGTGGGTTATGCATTTTCTGCTAAAAGTAATAGGGAGGTTTGGCTTGAAGGATGACAAGGGTTAGGGCAGGTATTGGGAGGGGAATGATTGTCAGAATGTTGCAGGCCAAAAGAGGAGCATGGAAAAGACCTGAAGGGAGCCTGGTAGCTTGGTTCTCGTGAACACTGCTTCATGAGGCTGGAGAGCCTCACAGTTCCTCACCATTTTTTCTCTCTGGGAATGGATGTATGGTCCGCCATTTTATTTCTGCATGGCCCATGGGCTAAGAGTGGTTTTCACCTTTCCAAATGGTTAGTAAAAAATGAAAAGAAGAATAATATATTGTGAGACTTAACTATTATATGAAATTCAGATTTCAGGGTTTCATAATGGAGTTTAGGTGACATAGTTGTGCTCTACAACTGCTTCTGTGCTACGGCGGCAGAGAAACAAGTATGATGGGAACCCTATGGCTTCAGGAGCCTGAAATGCTTACAATCTAGCACTTTATAGAAGAAGGTTTTATGACCCATGGCCTAGAACACAGAGCTCAGGGCATGGAGTGCAACAAGCCTGGATTGCAACTCTGGTTCATTGGCTTTGAGCTGTGTGACCTTTGGAGAATTTCTTATACTGTGTTGATTTCCTTATTTGCAAATGATAATAACAGTATTTTGCAGGCTTGTGAAGATGGAAGAGGATATTTCATATAAAGCTCCTGGGAATAGTAAGTCCTGACATAAATTTATTAATCAAAATAGTTAATGATAATTTCACTGCTTTGTGTGATTAATAAGTGATAATATAAATATGATACCATTTTGAACTTCTGTAATCATTGTCATAATGTCTGCTTTGGGAATTTCTGTTAATAGATGAATAGGTAAAAAGAAAATTATATTTGTGAAAGTGAGAGTAGAAAGCTGTTTCCAGAGCTCCTCAAAATAATGATTATAGCTGAACTTGATTGATTGCCTGCAGTGACACAATGCTGGGTAGTTTGCAGGAATTGTCTCACTTGATCATCACTTCAAACCTAAGAGGTAGCTACTATTGTCATTCAGTACAGAGGCTCAGAGAGGTTATGTAATTTAACCCACATCAGCTAGTAGGAGATAGAGCATGACTTGAGCTGGGACAGTCTGATGTCAAAGTTTTTGTTTCAATGACTCTATTTTTGCACATATCTGAGGAGAACCAGAAATCCTCAATGCAGAGTTCACACTGATCCTGGGTAGCTGGCATATTGGAATATTAGTCTGAAACAAGCTCTACACTGGTATCAAACAGGAAAATGCTGTTGCAACTCCCTGAGTGAATTTCTCAGAGGAGCCGCTCCCATGACATGTACAACTAAGATAACTTCTTGAGCATTGTCCTATAAAGGTGGTCTCGTGTGTCATCCATTATTTGTGTTTGGGGTATTAGTGAGATGCACTGGGTGTGTACAGATGGAGGATGTTGGTCTGTATTCCTGGGACAGCATGTTGTGATTGATCAGATCTGTTTGGTTTTCAAGAATGTGCTCACAAATGATTCCACCAACAACCAAACTATTACATATGCATATATGATGGTCTTAATTTGGTAATTACATTGTAATGGTTAATTTGAAATTTTCAACTTGATTGGATTAAGAGATGCCAAGGATTAAGAGGCTTATGGGTGTATGGATAAGGGTGTGTCTAGGAATGATTGGCATGTGGGATAACTGAAATGGAGACTCTCCCTAAGTATGGGCAGCACTGTCCATGGCTTGGATGGAATAAAAGTTGGAACAACAAGGAAGCAACGATTCTTCTGGAACAGGTTCTTGATCGCTGCTGTGATCATCTGAGGATATCAGACTCTTGCTTCTTCACTCTTCCAAAGTGGACTCTGCCAGAGATTCCCCAGAAGTCTCTGGTCTCGGACTAGAGTTGCACCATTGATCCCTCTTGTTCTGGGGCTTCAGCCTCTTGGACTGTGCAGCTACTGGTTCCTCCAGCTCTCCAGTCTGCAGACTGCCATTGTGGGCTATCCAGCTTCTGGTCACGTAAGCCAACCTAATAAATATCCTTTTTATAATTATACCTCCTATTGATTCTATTCCTTTAGAGAACCCTAATATATACATGTATATTTTGTAAATATTAAAAAGATGTAAATGTATCAGAATATTCAGTAGCTGTCTGCCTCTAAGGTCTCCAGGAAATAATGGCAAACATTATTGTTATTTTTACTTCTATTTTTTTTAAAAAAAATTTAAAATTTATTTTGTATTCTATTTTGTTATATATGACAGCAGAATGCATTACAATTCATATTACACATGTAGAACACAATTTTCATATCTCTGATTGTACACAAAGCATAGTCATACCATTTGTGTCTTTATTCATGTACTTAGGGTAATTAATATTAATATTACCATTATTATCTCATTCCACAGTTTTTTCTACCCCCATAACCTTCCCTTTCCCCTTCCAGTCCTTTGTCCTATCTAGAGTTCATCTAATCCTCCCATGCTCTCCCCACCCAAACCCCATTATGAATCAATATCCTTATATCAGAGAAAACATTCCACATTTGGGGCTTTTGGAATTGGCTGACCTCTGATTTTATCTCTATTTCTACCTCCAGAATTTTTTGTAATTGCACATTAATAAAATAGTACAGTGAATTGATACTATGTGTCAAAGTCTTCAACATCTCTAAGTTATTTAATTTCATAATTCCACCTCTGCTACTATGAAATATTGTATAAATAGATATATGTTCATTTAAAGCCATTTAAAGTGGGGAAAAGAATTGGAAATATTGTATTGTGTGGCACAATGATATCAAAGCACATTATGTAGCCATGAAAGAAAATGCTGTCTACAGATAGGAAATGCTTATGCTGTAATACTGTGAAAAAAGCATGATACAAAATTGGACATTAAGAATTAACACGGTTCAGTGAAAACCCAACAACCTACTCATTAAAAGACAAAAAGAAAACACAGTCAACTATTAATGGTTGTGTATGTAATGGATAGGAGTATACATTTTTCTTCTTTTTCTGTTTCTATGTAATTTCAATTTCAATAGTTCCTTTAACAAATGGATATTATTTCTGTAATGGAAACAAATAGACACTAAAACACTCTTGAACTTGGAAGTGTGTGTCAACTGGTGATAGTCTTCATTTCCCCTCCCTCCACCTCCCATCACCTGTATCTTTATCTGCTCTGCCTGTTGTGATTAGCTGGGTATTTCTCAAGTTGGGCAAAAGGTGCTTTATGAGTTGCGATGAATACCAAGCTGGGAACCAGGACACGTGGATGCTAGCCAGGGCCATGCCACTAACTCACCATGTGCTTCTAAAGGGGAGTTGATATTAGTATCCCTCTAAAATTTTGTAAGTTTATTTTTTATTGTGATATTGAAAAATATGATACTGACCTTATAACATTTTAAGTTCATGGTACAGTATTTCAAACCATCATTATATGGTAGAGCTCTAGGACTTTTTCATTTTGTGTGACTGAAACTCCACATCCTGCAGTTAGCAGCTGCCCATTTCTTTCTCCTCTAGTCCCTAGCAACCACCAGTCTACCTGTTGCTTTTCAGAGTTTGACTATCATATGTAAGTAGAATTATGCAGTAATCGTTCTTCTGTGATTTTTTTTTTACTTGCCATAAGGCCCTCATGGCTCATCTTTTTAAAAATTGCTGAATAATATTCCACAAGGTGGAGATCCCATATAATCTTGACTCACTCACTCACCAATGGAAATTTAGGTTGTTTCCAGCTCTTGATCCTTGTGAATAATGATGCAAGTAACAGAGGAGTGTAGATATTTCTTGGAGATCCTAATTTCAATTATTTTGGATAAATACCTTGAAGTAAGATAGTTGGATCTTATGATAGGTCTATTTTCAAGCTTTTGAGGAACCTCGATGCTGTTTTCCACGACTGCTACATACACCATTTTATATTTCTACCTGCAATTTCTTCATCTCCTTGCTAGCACTTGTTATTTTCCAATGTGAGGTGATATCTACAATGTGGTTGGATTTACATTTCCCTGATGATCAATGTTGTTGACTATTTTTTTCATCTACCTGTTGGTTACTTGGGTATCTTCTTTGGAGACCCATCGGTTTAAATACTTAGCTTATTTTTCAACCAGGATATTTATTTTTTTTTATTGTTGAGTTGTAGGATTTCCTTATACATTTTGAATACTCAACTTTTATCAGATATATAATTTTCAAATATTTCCTCCCATTTGCTAGATTGGCTTTATCTGTTAATTGCTTCATTTGCTGTGTAGAAACTTTATGGTTCAATGTAGCACTACATGTTTATTTTTGCTTTTAGTTCCTGTTCCATTGGTATTATAGTCAAGAAAACATTCCCAAGATCAATGATATGGAGACTTCCCCTTATATTTTCTCTCAGGAATTTTATAGTTTCAGGTCTCACATTTAAGTCTTTAAGGTAACTTAAATTGATTTTTGTGTATAGTGTAAAATAAGGATCCTCTTTCATTCTTTTCATGTATGAATATCCAGTTTTCCCAGTACCAATTATTAAAGAGACCATTCTTT